AACCTGTAAAATCCAGTGCCACATCATGTCACTTTTCTGTTCAAAACCATCTGTATTACTTCTAGCAAAAGCTAAATTCCTAATAATGCCCTGTAAATAATCTCTTCCTTGTACTTGGCCATGTTAAACACATTCCTGCCTCAGGGCTTTGCACTTGCTGGTGTCTCTGCAGAGATAGCGATTCTTAACTTTTTATTTTGTGCCATGGACCCCCCTTTGTCAGTCAATGATGGCTGTGGACTCCTTCTAAGTATAATATCTTTAAATCCATAAAATAATTTCCATAAATTATAAAGAAAGCCATTTATATTGAAATACAACTCTCAAAATATTTTCAAAATGTGTAATATAGTAATATATGTGTTTCTTATCAATTCATTAATTTACAAGAGTTAGCAGCATAATTTTGAAGTAGTAATGAGTATAATGATATCTTGAGATATTTTTAACAACTATAATGCAATATGAAAATACCTGTGATTTCTACTAGCAACAACGTCACAGGTGCTGCTAATATCACTGTGATTTGCTGTCTGCATTCATAATTGAAGAGCATGCTAAATTTTAGTTAGTGAAAATAGAGATAATTTTTTTCTTGCCATATAAGGTCAAGACCCCATGAATGCTATCCATAGACCTCTAGAGGGGGTGTCTGTAGACTCCAGGTTAATAACCCCTGGCTTAGAATGTTCTTCCCCCTTCCACCCTCACTGCTCACTCCTTCCTCTCCTTCCCCTCAAAGCCACCTTCTCAGTGAGCTCTCCCCTGAGGACTCTATTTAAATTGCATCCCCACATTCCTTATCCCTCTTTCCTACTTAATATTTCTCCATAGCACTTACTCACCTTCAAATATAATATTTTTTAACTTATTTTTTAATTGTGTATTTCCTTCCACTAGAAAATGGGTTCTATGAGAGTAGGCATTTCTGTCTGTCATGTTTGTGCCATGTCCCCAGCACCTAGAACGGTGCCTGGCATACAGGAGGAACTCAATAAATATTTGCCGGAGAAAAACAAAGATTTCATCTCTGAGAATCCCATGTTTCTTCTCATTTTTTTTCTGTAAAAAGTTAATGAATGATTTGTGAGACTTTTAATAAAGATTCAGGAATTATCATCAGTTTTATTGCTATCATTCTGTTAACATTTCTAAGGGTAACCTTAAACAGTAGCAGAGAGCTGTGGAAACCCAAGGATTCTGAGGGAGCTTCCAGTGCTAAACAAGAAGTACCTTCGAAAGACTCTTTAGGGACCTGGGTCTCACCCAAACTCAGGGAAACACCTCAGAGGCAAAGTGCTGCCAATATAGCAGTCAGGCCCCCATCTCCAAGCAAACCAATGATACTGATACTTTATCTCCGGCAGTGTGGTAAAATGGAAAATACATAGGTCTCGGGGTCAGCTGGACTGGTGGTGCCAATTCTGCCACCACTTGCTAGCTGTGTGACTGTTAGTAAGTTACTAAACCTTTCTGGATAGGTAAGATGGGGTCTTTGTGAGAATGAAATGGGATGGCTTGCACAGCGCACAGCACAGAGCAGGTGCTCTATAAGTGGTCATCCCCTCCCTCTTCCATCTCTCTAGGTCATTTTATAACTACTTGCCAAGGTTCATGGGATCCTGATGGCTCAGAGGAGGAGCCCGTCCAGTCCTCTCCTGCATGCACCCCCTCTGCAACTAGACCCAACCCCAGCAGTCCCTTGGACTGTACCACTGGAAATTGGTGCCTCCACTCTCACCTCAGATGTGTGGCTGAGACTGCCATGTGGACCTTGACCATGAAGCCCACCATCTATCACAGTGTTTTCTCCTGGCCTTCCCTTTTGCCCACACTGGAAGACTTTGTAGATATACTCAGAGCGTAACACAGAAATCATTGTCCCCCAGTTTTTCAGTGTAAAGAGCTTTCAGGGAGCGCAATCACCCTTCTCAAACGTAGGCACCAGGGAAATGCTAATATACATGTACACTATGAGCCAGGCCCTGCTTCACACATATAGCATGTATATGTACATATACACAAAGACGTATATGTGCACACGTGTATATATATATATATACACGAGGCCTCAGGAACTCTCCAACCCTCCCATTCTCCAGAAGAAGAAAAAGAGACCTAGAGACATGAATTCATCATCTTGCCCACATCAAGCAGCTTCTGAACTGCAGAGCCAGGATTAGAACCCAGCTATTTAACCATTTTGTTACATGCTCACAGCCTGCAACATGTATTTCCAGGCACTGAGCTTGGACTTGGGAAAACCAGCTGACCATTAAGAGCTAGAGCCAGGTCTTACTGGGAGGTGATACCCAGCCCCTCAGTCTTGCCAGACAAGCCTCTCCAGACTTTGTGAATGAAGGCCAAGGAAAAGAAATGTTGCAGTGACTCCCTTTGAGCTCATATTTCTTTCTTGTTGCAAAAAGTGCTTATTTCAGCATCCATCATCTCCCTCTTTGTTGTGCAGACAATCTGCCCTGTCGAAGGATTTGTGCTGTTATTACGCGTTTGTTTATTATTAGATTTATTTCTCCTATAAGCAAATGTGTTCACAACATTCCATCGGGGAATCTTCTTAATTGTCACATAAATGTCATCTTATGTAAATTGAATATTTATCTTTCCATGGAAGGGGGAAGAGAGGAAAGAAAGAATAAACAATCTTCAGTCTTGGAGAGAGAAGGCGGTTCCTGTCCCAGTTCACAACTCACCGACCTGCCTTCAAAGCCAAAGGTGAGCTAAAAAAAATTATTGGATCATTTTTGAGGGGCAGCCAAACGGGAGGGGGAAGAAAAGTTGGCAACGCTGTTTTGGGGATGTTGGGCCAGGCTCTCAAGTCTCCCCCCAAAACCCTGCCTGAAAGTAGACCACCCCCTCCCCAACTGGCAGCATCCGGAGAAGGCTACAGCTTGCCTCCCACTCCTCCCTATCCAGGAGGCCAGCCCTACTCCTTCCTCGAGAGGTGAGCGCGGCGGGCGCAGCGGGTTGGGTGGGTGTGGCCCGCGGCTCCGGGAACCGACCCAAGGCCCCGCCACCGCCCGCGAGCCGCCCGACGCCCGCCTGCACGGCGAGCGCAAGCTCTTCTTCCAGAAACTGCGAGGATCCGAGCGCACTGTTTGTGCACCACAAGGTCAAGTCGGGAAGTGGAGCCGGAGGAGGAGGGGCCAGGAGGCGAAGGGTGGGGAGAGGGGCGCCCCGCTTCCTCGCCAAGTACCAGCCCTTGGAAGTTGCCCCTTGGTTTTTAACCCTTTAGGGGGAGTGGGAAGAACGAGCAAGGGGGAAGACGATACCCTGGGGCAAACTCCTACTGGGGCCAGGACGTGCAGCCACCCACCCACCCATCACTGCGTTCCACACCCCCCGGAAATGCGGGGCAGAGCTCGGCGCCAGGAGGCACCCGGACGGGGGGAGGGGGCGACGAACCCGAGAGGGACCCTCTCTATGGACCGCCCCTCCTTTCTTGAGGTCGCCCACAATTTCAAGTTTCCCCCGCCTGGGATGTTAGTTTCCATCTGCTGTGGGTGGGGGAGGAGGGCCGCGCCCCCTCCCCCAGACTAGCGCGCGCCCCTCCCCTCCGCTCCTGCCAGCACTTTCTGCTCACTTCTGGCGCTGCAAAACGCCACGCGATTTATTCAAGTCGCATTTTTAAACCAGCGAGTCAGGAGCAGAGCCTAGGGCGAGGGTCTTCCAGCACTGGAGCCCCGGGAGGCGGAGTGCTCGGTGCAAACCTCATTCCCTCCGCGAGTGTCGCCTTCAGGCTGTTATTTGCAAAGAAACGTCTTTTTGACGCAGGGAGAAATGGCAAATTTTAAGTACGTCATTAATATGGCGCCAAAAGATTTTTTTAAGTATAAGCTTGCCTTTTCTTTTTTTTTAAGGTTGCGGGGGGCGCCGCCCGGGTCTGGGGCGCGAAGGGGGCGGAGTGTGAGCAGAAAGTGTGAGTGAGAGAGTAGAGGGGCGGGGTATGTGTGTGAGTGTGTGAAGTGTGAGCAGACCTGATGGGACTTGCACGGGCGCAGCCGCCGCTCGGGCCCGGCCCTGGGGACAGGACGGGCTCGGGGCGCCCCAGAGCCCGTGGGGAGTCCGGGCCCGAGGTGCAGGCGGGCCAGCGGCCCAGCAGGGCACCCTCCTCGCGAGGCCTGCAACGCTACCTGGACCCGCTGCTGGAGCTAAACAACTGGGCGTGGGGGGGGGGGGGGAGAGGACGGGGGGGGTGTCAGGAGTGGAGATCTGAGTGAATAAGAAAAAAGTGGCTACTCCCCCTCCCTCTCTCCTCCCGCCCGCCCCCACCCCACCCCACCCCACCCCACCCCCACCCCAACACATTTTTTTTTCTAAAGAGATCACAAGGAAGTCTTGGTTTAAAAAGAAACAGAAACATACACAGGGGGGTTGGTGAATGGTGCCGACCGCGGCCATCGCAGTTGGAGGCTATTTTGGGGGGGCGTGAGTAGCTTCCATGGAGTTACTTTGCGCCCACTCCTAGCGGCAAGGGCTTGGGTCCGGCGGGCCGACCGTCCCCGGCAGGGGTGCGGGGCCGAGGACGTCGCGGTCCCGGCCGCCTCCCTCGCTGCGACCCCGGATGGATGCGCGCCCCCCGCCCGCCCGGACCGGCCCCAGGAGCTCTGGGTTTCGGGAGCATCCTTCCCGCGCTGGCCCCCGCCGGGGCGCATAGCCGAGGGCAGCGCCCCTCGGAAGGGCACCGCGGAACAAGGTAAGATCCAGCCCCGGGCAATGGGCCCTGCGCATCTCCACGGCGTTATTTTGTGTTTTTGCAACCGATTTGCAGCGCTCCTCGCTCTCTCTCTCTCTCTCTCTCTCTCTTGCTCGCTCCCTCTCTCTCCTGCTGGCTGCCTGTTCTAGGAAGCCAGCGCGGGGGGGGGCGGGGGGGGGATGCACAGCACAGGGGAGAGAGATTGCGCATGTTGGTCAGTCGTGTTTTAAAGAGTACATTGCGGGGAGGCTGAGAGGGGCGCATGCAACAACAACTTTTGGAAGGGTGAGCTTGGCGACCTTCTTTATTAATGACTGCGGCAAAGCGCCCCCGGGCCGGCGAGGGGGCGCGGGCGGGCGGGGGCGCGCCGGGGCTGCAACTTGCTCGGCGGGCTCCGGCCGGGCGGAGGGGCTGCGGTGGGAGACCGGTGCAGAGGGGAGGTCGCGCGGTTGGGGATTGTGGTTCGGAGAACCGGAGCTATCTGCCCTCCTGTCGCCTCGAGTTTCATTTTGTTGATACGCAGCACGTCCGGGCGCCGAACCGGGCTGAGCCGGTGCACATGACCCCACGCTAGGCTCACGTGCAGCGGGTCCGGTCCCAGACACCTTCCGGAGGCCACCGCCTCCGCCCTGTCGCCCCCTCTCCGAGCTGGGTGCACGCGGGCGCTGCACGCGGGGGCAGCATGCTCAGCTCTCGGGCGCGGAGGCTCTGCACAAATTAAACACAGTTTTTTGGAGGGCGGGGGACACCCTTTCCAGGTGAGTATGGAGGGTGCGCAGCCCCGACGCCGGGGACGCGGATTGGGGTCGGGGGCAGCCCTTCCTCCAGGGCTGCGCGGGAGTCCGGCGGGGGAGAAGCGCTGGGAGAGTGGAAATATACCGGCGGCGGCCGGAGCGGCGGGTGCGCGCCCGCGGGGCGACGGCAGGGGGCGTGGCCCTTGTTTACCTTCTCCCAACTCTGCCGGTTCGCGTCCCGCTCCGGGGACGGTTCCGCAGTCCCCTGCCCTCTGCCTCCGCCCCTGAACCCTGGGTGGTACCGGGAAGATGTAGGCAAGTGGTGGCCCCAGGCTGGAACATACACACCTGACCCCCAAATGAGTGACATTGTAGCCCCCGCCCCCACCAAGCACCTCTGCAGTCCCTCTCTCGGATCCCCAGCCCCGCCCCGCCCCCGGCAGTGGCATCTTCCCGGCCTCACCACCTTCCTCCCTCCCTCTCTCCCTCCCTCTTTCCCACCCACTCGCCTGCGTCTGCGGAGCGGCTCCCGCCCGCCTCCTACCCGCCTGGGTGCAGACTTGTGGCTCCCTCCGGTCCCTTCCCGCCTATCCCTGGGCCCTCAGACACCCTTTTCTCCAGGCCAAAGGATGAAGGCGTCAGCTTAGCGATTCGTGGCTATTTTGTCGGAAAATAAGGATGTATGCGAGACAAGCAGGAAGGCTTCACTCTAGCTGCCAGAGGCCCAGGACCTCCCCCAACCCTGCCCCCCACTGCACACAGCTGCCCACCCCCCAAGGGGCTCGGCTGCCCTCACCTGCTTCACCTAAACCCGTCCTCCTGCCCCGAACATCAAGTCCACCTCCCGGTGCCGCCCCGGGCCCGAACCACCTCTTGCCCTTCCTTTGCCTGGGCCGGAGCCCCCCGCAGCCACCTCTGGCTCCTCCTCCCGGCTCCCGCGGTCGGAATCACGCCGGCGCGCCTCCTGCCTGCGGTCCCGAGGACTGCCTCCAGGGGCAGGCTGGAGACTCGCGCCACCCCCATCCCAATCCCCTTAGCTTCAGCCGCGGGCCAGGACGGTGTTTTTACCACCTTAGACGCAGGTCTCGTGCCGCGGGCTGGTAGGAGCGGAAAGGGCAGTGTTTTCCTTTGCCTGGTGCCAAGGGTTCGCTGCAGCCGGCCACTGTGGTCTCCGCAGATTTCCAAACCTTGCCCCCGCGCTTAGCACCCCCAGCTCGTCTACTGCGGGATTCCGAGACACAAAGTTTTCCCCAGGGGCTGAGTTTGCAGGGGGTCATCAGGAGGCATCGTGCTTGCACTCAGAGCAGTGTCAAAGGGGACGGGGAGGAGCTAAGTGGGCATGACTGACCTGGCGCCTTGCCTTTGTTGGAAGGGGGAGGAGCCCTGATTTTTGAGCCCAGACAAGCTGTCAGGACGTCCCTTTAACGTTTTTGTTGGCAAAGGAGTTCCGGGCCGGGGCCGGGCGGGGCCGGGGTGGAGGAGGGCCCCTTGGTCCCTTGGTCCCTCCTCTCCGGGTGGTATTAACTCCCTCTCTTCACTGGTAAAATTCCCAGTAGGACATTTGGCAAAAGGGCCGGGCAGGGAGCTGCCAATGGGGCCTGGGCTTGTTTCCTGGGTTCCCAGGGTGCTAGCGTCTCCCCTACCCTACTTCCTCTCGCACCTTAGAGCCCCGAGTGAAAGCACCGTCCCTGCTATCCCGTCTTCCTCAGGCGGGTTGGGACTCGCAGAGCAATCTCGCAAGCAGAGGAGGAAAATAACAACAGAATAACTGTAAGGGGAAGGAATGAGTAATAAAGCCGACCCAGGCAGGGAGGAGGGCTTTCATGTTTAAGAGATGCTATTTGCTTTTTAGGTCACGGGCTGCAAAAACAGGCTTTGATCCGAAGTGGGCGAATAATTTATTGAGAAAGTTTGTATGGTAGGGGAAAAAAAGGGATGTTTGTTTGATCTGGAGCCCTCTCAGTTGTCCCGAGTGCTGTTGGCTGTTGTTTAGAGTGGAAAAGCATTTGGTTCCACAGCAAATGCCTCGCAGAGGGAAGTCCTCACCCCAGGCAGCAGGGCTTGCGCTGAGTGTTGGTTTTGCAACTGTTTTGCCAAGGGTCTCTCCAGCGCTTTTGGAGATGAAGTGTTTAAGGATAGAGTTGTTTGGGCTCAGGATGCAGCAAATGTTTCCAGAACATTTCCCATCCAACATGCTTTTCCTTTCCCTAAATTGCCTGGCTAAATGGCCAGTAACACTGATCCAAGAGGCTGTCAGAAATCGTCACTTCGTTTTCAATGACAGGTGAAGGATTGCTAGTGCGCAGCCCCCACGTGCACCCCAGAGGCTTGAGGTTAGGCCTTTGATGCTGACTTCCACATCACATCCTTGAGGTTGGGGGCAGGGTGTTCTGGTTAACTGGTGTTCCGATTAACAGGGAGGTATTTGTTTTATACTTAGGACCCAGGTTAGAGGCTTCCAGTCCAGAGTCTTTACAGCTCATCCAGCAGGCTCTCTGGGGGCCTCACAGTTTTCCCTTTACATTCTCCAAGGGGAGGCCAGGTCCGGGTTGTGAGAAGGAGTACCCCTGGCTTGGCCTGTCCTCCACATAGCCCGTTACCATGTGGCTCAAAGCTTAGGAACCCAGGAAGGTTCCCAGACAACCCACAGGAATCTGGAGTGCCCCAGCCCACTCTGGAGCTGTAGGCTTATGCACTGTAGCCCAGCGGGGAGGGGTACTCCATCTGGAGTCATGCAGCCTACGTTTGAATGCTGGCTATGCGGTCACCAGCTGTGATGACTGCCCTGTGCCTCAGTTTCTTCATCTGCAAATGGAGTTAATAACAGTACCTACCTCGTGGTGGGTGTATGCATTAAGCAGTCTGTTGCATAAAGAAGACTAAGCCCAAAGCCAGCCGTGTGGCCAGCACTGGGTTAGTATTAGCCATTCTTACTGTTACTACTAATGACCTGGAGAAGGCCCAAATGCAGCTCTGACCTTTGCTCTCCCCCTTTAGGCTAGGCCCCAGCTCCCTTTGCTGAAGGAGGGATCCGAAGGGCCCTGCGGTTGCCAATGGGCAGCCAGCTCTGGGAGTGAGTGGACTGCGCTTTACCCGCTCTGAGGTGGAGAGTAGGGGGAAAAGTACTGAAGGACACAGTACACAGAGCCCCTCGCATCCTCCAGGACCCCCTTGGTACGGAGCATGGGGTCTGGAGGGAGGGTGTTGGCAGCATGTTCTGGGGGAGCTGGCGCCCCCTGGGACACTCGGGGTTGCAGGTGGGCAGTGATGGGTGTCAGAGGGCTCGGGCTTCCCCCAGCTTAGAGAAGCAGGTCTGTGTGTACAGAATCATTTTCCTACCAGCAACTCCTGTCCCTGAGAAGGCATTAAAGTTAATGAGAGATAGGAAAGAGTGGGGCTCTGACCCCTGTTTAAAGCGATTTAAGAGCGTGCGGCTCTTGTTTTCTGAATGTCTGGCCTTCCCGACGCAAGGAGGCTCTGAGGACAGGTTTTCCAGCCGAAATATCATTAAATTGTATTAGCATCTTATTACACACACGCCTTAGCGGTCTGCCTCAGACAGGGAGAGTTTTTGTTTCTCTTTGAAAGATTGTGTCTGGAATGGTAAATTGCCTGCTTGAAAGCCTTTTTTCCCCCCTTTTAAAGGAGGAAGATGAAATCCTGCTGTGTGCGGTGGCGGGCAGGGCAGGCCTGGTGGCCCCTGGAGAGGAGAGGCCGGAGGCCAGGTTGGGGTGTTTTAACTGCCCAGGGAGCGGCTGCAGTAGCAGGCCTGAAAGGCCCACTGTTCCCAGGGTCAGCTGGAAGGGCGTTAATGGAGGCCCAGGGTGTTTATTTGAGTTTATTTGCGGAGAGGTCTTTAAAGAGAGCTGGCATTGGGCATTGATGTTTCAAGTCCAGACCTGAGGCCCCCACTAAGACCAGTGGCTAGTGCTGCCAAGAAAACATCTGCCACCAAATTGCTGCCCTATTATTGAGTTGACATTGATCATTAGCCAGGAGCCCAACCAAATAAAGCCTCCTGGAGAATGTGTGAGGTTAAGATGGGGAAGGAGGGCTGTGAAAACAGGACGAAATCTTGGGCTAGGGTATTTGTTCCTGCAAGCTGCAGGCAGGCCAGCTGGGTTGTGTGGTCTGCACACTTCTAGAGAGAGGGACAAGAGCACACTGAGCACCCAGTATGTACCGAGCCCTGTTTTGTGCTGAGTACACCACGAGGGGGGCACTGGGGCTCCAGCAGGGATCCAGACAGACGTGCTCCTTACTCATGGAACGTATGTTCTTGAGGAGGACATTCAACAAGTAGATCAACAAACACGAATTGTGATGGATGCTCTAAAGACACTGGATAACGGGGTGGTGGACTCTCTTTAGATAAGTTACCTGGTGTAGACCTGTGACATTGAAGCTGAAATCTGAAGGATGAAAAGTCAGACATGTGTGGACTGCATAGAACATTACAGGCAAGGAGCACAGCCTGTGCACCGGTCTAGAAGCATGGACCATCTGGCTTGTTTCAGGAACTGAAAGGAGGCCAAGGTGGCTGGAAAGTGGTGGGGAAGGGGACAGTAGTTGATATGAACTTATTGAGGTAAGCGGGGGCCAGATCATATAGGCTCTTGTGGTCAGGAGCTTGAGTTTTGTCCTTTGATCAGCAGGAAGCCTTTGAAAGATTTTAAGTAGAGGCATGACATGATCTGATTTATGCTTTTTTTTAAGATCATTCTGGCTGTTGTGTGGATCCCGGATTATGGGAAAGCAATTGTGGAAGCTGGGAGATGAATGAGGAGTCCAGGCAAGAGATGAGACTGGCTTGGACCAGTGTGGTAGCAGTAGAGACGGGGAAAGAGGTGGATGGATTCACCATGTGTTCTGGAGAGAGAGCCCGCGACACTTGCCAAGGGTTGGCTGTAGGGTGGAGGATGCACAGAGAGGCTGTGGGCTGCTGGTCCATTGAGGGGACACTCCTGAAGGAGAGCTTTCTGTGTCTACATGCTGGGGATGGTGTGGGAGGTACAAATGGGCTGGTGCAAATGGAAGGAAAAGAGGACCCTTGCTTTCCTAGAATCTCCTTTGTAGTAGGGTTTTAGGAGCACTTTCTGTCCCCAAAAGCAAGTGCCTTGTGACACTGAGGTGTTCTCCCAGAGCAGACTGCTTTGGGAGAGATTGGAGGAGGGATCAGGAGAGAGGGAAAACCAGAGGCCAAGATCAAGTCTCAGCATGCCCAGCCTCCACCTGCATTTGCAGCTCCTGGTTTCAGCCTTGGTAAAGGAGTCCTCCTCCCTGTCCCGCCAACTGGGTGGAGAGGGGCTTGATGGGGCAAAGGGCTGTCCCACAGGGGAGCCCCAGCCTCATTTGGAGCTTCATTAGCCACTGGCAGTGGGCAGGCGGGGAGGACTTTGGAACAGACTTGGTTCAAAGGAAAGAAGCTTCACTCACAAAACAGTGGCTTCCCTCTGAAGCCTAGTTATTATTCCAATTAAGCCACTACAAAATCTACTCCCTTAATAACACCCTGCCCAGGAGACCTCTGGGGTGTTTTGTGGAGGGCAGGTTGGACGGGGAACTGGCTGAGGATAGGGTGCAGGTCTGCATGCTGACAGGTCACCTGTTGGTCTCTGGGCTGCAAGAAAGAGCGTTATGAAAAGAGTGTTGGCAGTCAAGGGATGCTATTACAGGGGGCCTTCCTTACTGTACAGGGTCACTGCCCCTTCTGAGGAGCCCCTCAGGTGGGTGCTGGTAGGAGGACTCTCCACCTGGCCCAAGGCTGCCATGGTATTCATAACCAGCACCTACAGAGAGCCAGCCATGGTGCTAAGGGCTTTACGCTGCTCTCATTTATTCTCACCAGCTGATTCTGGCCCACAGATGTGTTTAGTTTGGCCCTCTCAAAGTGTTTTAAAAATTCTGAATCAGTTGCCAACATTTTAAGTTCAGGAGATTTATGTAAAAATCCAGATCCAGTTTGTGTCCTCTGGGAGGTATGTCTTTCCCAAGGTCCCTGGTCTAGTGAGGGGTGGAGCTAGGATGGGAATGCAGCCCCTCTGAATCTGGAGCTCCTGCTTTTCTGCTGTGGGAGACCCTGGCTTGAAAGTGCCCTCTTTGCTAGAAATGAAGAGAAATGCAATTCATGTACAGGATTGTGGGAGAAAACAGGTGGGTGCATTTATAGCACCTCTCCCCCTCCTCCTACCCTATCCGTGACAGGGCCGGGTTGGCAAGATGTAGGCTAGAGTCAGGGTTCTGTTAAAGTCACCTTTGTCACTCAGACCTCAGAGAACAGCGAGGATGGGCAGCTGTGGGTGGTAGAGCTTTGCTGCCCCGTTCAGCTCATGACCTGGGCCACTGGGCTTCTTGCACTCTGCTGCACAGAGGCGCGGGGAAGTCTAAAGGTCAGGAGCGTGGTCTCCTGAGTCAGATTTCTTACAAACGCTGTGATCTTGGGCAAGTCCGAGCTTAGTTTTCCTCATCTGCAAAAGGGAAGCTGTCATGCCCACTGGCACCGGGGCTGTTCCTAGGGTTTTGTGAGGTCCCTGGGGGTACCAGGGCGTCCCCTTCCCCTGCCACAATGAGTGCTTAGCAGTTTTAGCTTTTGTTCCTGCCTCCTTGGCGTTTGTCCTACAAACACCACCAGGCATCCCTCTGTACCTCCACGCCCTCTGGAGAACACTCTACCTGCACCTTTGGAGCTGGGCAACGAGCAGCCCCAGTGAACCTTCCTGTTATCCTGGTCCTGCTGTTGGGGGACACTGGGGTGGAGAGAAGCTCCTGGCTGAGGGCAAGTCCAAGCAGGAGGGTCCTTCTGGTCAGCTCAGAGCTCTGGGTAGTCATGCGCTGCCTTAGACAGCTCATGCCCCCTGGTCCCTGCAGAGCTGCAGTAATGTAAGGGGAACCCCTGAGCTCAGCATGAGCAGACTTGGGGTGGCAGCAGGTGGCAGATGGGATCCCAAGTGGGAGTGGGGAGGCTGGTTGGCCTGCAGCTGGGCTAGCTGGGCAGTAAGTAGGGCTTTCTCCCTACAGACACTGGCTCCTTGTGCTTTGCTGTGGGTAGTGAGGCAGCCCGGTTCCAGACTAACAGGAACGTGGTGGAAACCACTCTGGGCCCCAAGCCCTAGATCACTTCTCGCATTAGGACTCAGCCACTGACTAGCTGTGAAACAGGTTAACAAGCCGCTCAGTGTGCTCCCCTCCAAGAGGGGACAACAGCAGGCTCTGCCATCCAGGACTCTGCAGGATTAGAGGAAATAGTAGGTGGGAAAGCACTTCCAACAGGCAGGAGCTGACAAGGGCACAAAGGCAGCTCAGTGTGGGCTCAGGGATCAGATCACGTGGATTCAAATCCCAGGTCAGCCAGTTACTAGCAGGACAAGGCACTGAGCCTCCCCGGTAAATGAAGCTAATAGCTCACAGCTTACCAGGTTGTTGGGAGCATGAGATAGCGGACATAGCGAGGTGAAGGAATGAGCTCAGTTTGGGAGAGTGGCCCTTCTTACCTTGAAGTTAAATGCTGCAGTCAAGATAAAGTTGGTTTGTACTTTTATCAGGAGAAGGGCTTTTGGGGAGGGAGGGCAGTCCATCCCGGGACTAGTCGCCCTGAGCCCCGTGTCTCAGCTTGGAGCCTCCCTGCCCCTACCCCATTTCCACACCCCTCTGGCTGCCACTCTCAGGATGTGCCCTCAGTGCTGTCTGGGCTGGCTTGTCCTAAACTCAGATAGCATGGTCCTCCTGGAAGAATCAGGCTTGTTTTCCTCTGCCCTCCCTCTACGTCTCCTTTAGCCAGACTCCTGCTCCTCTGAGGCTCTGGGCTCAGGAGGTGGGAGATGCAGCCTACTCTCGGGGCCCCCGTGGGTGGGTGGGGAGAGGCTGAAGCTGGCTGAGGAGAGGTCTAGGGCAGGGTCTTGTTCTCATTCTTCCACTGCAGTGGGGTAAGTGTGGGGAGTTACGTTATCAGGCAATTTTCTGAGATTGAGGATTTCCCAGCCGCCTGTGAGTATAATGGGGCCTGCCTTTTGTTGCAGATGGAAGAGAAGAGGCGAAAATACTCCATCAGCAGCGACAACTCTGACACCACTGACAGTAAGGCCTTCCATTTGGGGTTCCCACAGGAAAAGCCTTTGGCTAATTATCAGGCCCACGGGCCCAGGTCGGGGGAGGCTGCCCTGTGGTCTCAATGGTGATAAAGTCTGAGTCAGGCAGGGTCCCTCTGCTCTAAGAAAGTCCCCACACCACCATGGCCTCCAGGGCTTGCATCCTCTTCATTCTACTCCCCTTTACCTCAGGTCTCAGTGTTTTGCTCTGGTTGGAATAGGTCAACTCCCCTCTGGCCCTTTGCATATGCTACTCCTGTCTGCTAGGGACACATCCCTCTCTCTCTGGCCCTCCTGTTGAATCAGGGCCCTATGGGAGGTCTCTACAACAGATAGAGAACCTATCACTCTTTATTATGATTTCCTGGTAAGTATCTTTCCTGACCAATGGTGAGCTCCTTGATAAGAGGGGTCACATCTTGCTCACTGCTGTACCCCCAGCTAAATCAGCACATAGTAGGTACTCAGGAAATGTTTGCCAAAGAAATTAATGAAGGAGTCTGACCTTCATGGGATCTTGGCAATAGAATCTTGGAGGTAGACTTTTGTGTGGGTTAGGTGTGTGAATTGGATGTCTGGGAGGTGGGAGGCATTTTTGAGGAGAAAATGGGGCCTGGGGAGCCTCGTCGGAAATTTGGGGGAGAGAAGGGAGGTTTGTGTAAGGTAAGAGCTTTCCTCTGGTACCAGAAGGCAGCTCTGCTCAGATGCTCCAGGAACCTGGGCCTGCAGGAGCCAGTCGGAGTAAGAAGTTCCATTCTGCCTTGTGTAGGAGAGATACGCCGCCAGGAGGCTCCCACCTAGCGGTGCATCCTGGTGGAAGCCCAGGCTGAGGAAGAGGCTGCACTGCCAGGGAGGATGGACCTGGAGCCCTGCAACTCTAGACCTCAGTTTGTTCACATATGTGGTGAGCAACTGGGACTAGAGAGGTCTCCAAGGCCCTTAGAGCTCCTGGAGTTCCACCGCCCGACAAGAGCCTGAGGACTGGTGCACTAGGACGGCCTGTCAGGGCCCAGCTCCTTCCTACCTCCAGGTCTCGTTCACTGACCTTTGAGGTCTGTTTGTTCAGCTTGGCTCTGGTGTCTCACCTGGCCAGCCCTTCCTCCCTGCGGCAGGAGATCACAGCATCTGGCCCTCTGTGGCTGCAACCACGCTGCCTGTGGCCTGTCTCAGTAGAGCCAAGAAGAACCGCATCCTCTGCTTCTAACTTTATTGCAGGCAAAGGAACCCTGAGGGCCAGGCTCCTGCAAGAGTGAGCGTCTGGGCCACTGAGACCTGTAGCTGCATCAGAGTCGGGCCAGGCTGAGGCCTAGAGCCTTCCCACCTGCCCCCACCACTGTACCCACCCATGGCTGTTGCTCTTTTGATCCGTAGGGGTGGAGGCCACAGCCTGCAGTCCAGCAAAGGCATTGGACTCTTACAATAATAGCTAATGTTTATTGAGGTAGCGCTGTGTGCTGGACACTGTGCTAAGACTTTACTGGCATCATATTTAATTCTTATAAAAATCCTTTGAAGACAGTTATTCTCTTGCTCTCATTTTATAGAAGAGCAAACTGAGGCTCAGAGAGATTAAGTCATTTGCGTACGGTGACAGGCTAGTAAGAGCTGAGCCAGGGCTCAAGCCTGGTCTGTGAGTCTCCTTTAGAGCAGCACTCTTCCCACTGCCCTCTTCTGCCTCTGTATTCCCACTGGGCGTCATCCCAGAGGGTATAACCTGGGGTGGGGTTGGAGAGGCTACGGAAGGCTTATTGTAGCCCTCCTTCACCAAGGAGGAAACAGAGGACCAGAGAGGGCAAGGGACTTGCCATGGGTGACAGAATAAGCTAATACTGAGTCCTGGTCACTACCTTTTATTTAAGCCCTTTCTGGTTGGTTGAGTGAAAGAGGCTTCAGGTCCCCCCGCCGGTTCATCATTGGAGAGGCCCAGAGCAGGGACAGTCCTCCAGGTGCTCAAAGAGGTCTCCACCTCCTGGACATTCAAGCCAGAGGTTTCCTCACAGGTTTCCTGTCATTGGACGCAGATAGGTGGTGTTCCTGGCCTTCCAGGGGTGCCTCATGGGCTGTGCTGTCTTTGTAGGTCACGCTACGTCTGCATCAAGATGCTCCAAACTGCCCAGCAGCACCAAGTCGGGCTGGCCCCGACAGAACGAAAAGAAGCCCTCAGAGGTGAGTAGTGACAAGTGTCCTGGAGAAGGATGGAGCAGAGGTGGGGAAGCGACAGGAGCAGAGACCTGTGGTGAGGGAGGGCGGGAGCTCTGCAGATGTGTGGGGGAAGAGCGTTCCTGGCAGAGGGCACAGTCGTTGCAAACCGAGGCCCGTGTGGCTGAGTGAGGGAATGGGAGAAGGCCGGCGGGGATGCCGTTTCTCATAACCTTGTAGGTTGTTGTAAGATGTTCCTATTGATCTGAGCCAGAGGAGGAGCCTTTCAGGGATTGTAACCAAGGACATGGTCGGTTGTTTTAATGAAAAGTCCCACTGGCTGCTGTGAGGAGAAGGGAATGGGGGGGCAAGTGTGGAAACAGGTAGGGTTCTTTCGCAGTTGTCCAGGAGAGAAATGGTGACTTAGCGCCCAGTAGTGGCAGTGGAGTGAGGAGCAGTAGGACTTGGGACATTTTGGAGGCTCAGCCATGGGTGACAGCATTTGCTGATATAGGGGTGAAGGAAGGCGTCCTCAGTCATCTGGTTGAGTCACCCACTCCTTATGCCAGGTTCACACACATCTGCATTTTAAGGCTTCCTCACTTTGCCCTGGCCTGTTTCTTGTGGCAGGTAGAGGTGTTTATGCCCCCGGTGCCTTGGAGAAGAGCATTAGCGGGTGGGTGGGCGAATGGGCAGCAGGATCCTGCTTCCTGAAGCCCTGGAAGACTCACAGCCCCTGGCTGCCCTGCTCCCTCTTAGGTCTTCAGCTCACTGCACTGGGCTCAGAAGAGGCCCTTGGCACAGATGAGGTTGCAAAAGCATTGAGTGCCTGAGAAGGAGGCGGTTTTGAATCTGGCGCTTAAGAGGGACATTATTCTGCAGCCTGCAGAGCAGCCAGGCATGGAGCTGGATGGTTTACTTTTTTAATCCTTAAAACTAGCTCAGAGTTCTCAGTCCTTCTGTATAATAAGGAAACTGAGGATCTCAAAAGTTATACAGCCAAGACCTAAAGTTCTTAGGGCCAACAGTGCCAAGGGTGGGAAGGCCCAGAGTTGTGGGGCATAGCCCTTGGTGTGGGGTGGGGGAGGGTATCTTTGTTCTGAGCCTGGTGCCCTCCTCTCCCTGCCTGCACCACAGGGGCAATCCTGGCCTAGCTGTTGTTAGCTGGCCCTAGGGGGGTCTTCTGCAGAAGCTTGCATTTGAAAAAGGACTCCCTGCCTCTTCCACCTCCTCTGTAAGCTAGCCTATCCTAGGACTCTCCCTTTGTTGGGGGGGTTCCTTTGAGACCTGATGCCTCCCATCCCCATCCCCCAACCTAGTGTCCTCCTTTGGCCCCCATGGGGGAGGGGTGGAAGTGGAAGGAGATATCTCCTGGAATGCAGTAAGGACTGAAACTCGGGGTGGGGTGGGCATGAGAGGATGCTGTTCTTGAGGCTCTTAGTGCCCTTCTGGACTAGCCCTGCTCTGTGGGTGGATGGGATGTGCTCAAGTGCACTGAGAAGTAGGAGGCAGTGTGCTAGGGCCCTGGGATCCCCTGGGACCACCCCTCCACTCCTTCAGCCCCCACTCCTCTCCTATCCCTTAACCCTCAACCCCCACCCTCATCAAGAGACCCACAGGGGCTCCACCACTGCTATGATTTAATTAGTAAAACAATAGTCACCTTTATGTGTCTTCCTGGTTCTGGGAGGCAGGAATTGTCATGCCCATTTTCTCAGAATCCCACCTGCCCACTGCTTTCAACAGCTATTCAGGTTGGAGAAGGGTGGGGAAGTTCTGGGGAGCTCCTGGGCCTGGCTCAGTCCCCTAACTCCCCCCCTTCCTTGCTCCCTCCAAGCACCAGTGGTAAGAGGGCCCCCCCCGCCCCACTACAAAGATCCTAGGGGCAGGGCTGCCATGTACACCCAGGAGCTGCTGGCAGGGAGGAAACAGGTGTCATCGAAGGCCTAGGGGAGAGAGTGATTTGCATGGGGCTGAAAATTCCCCTGCCTCGCGGGTTTTCCAGCGCACAGAGCCTTTGAACCTTTCTCCACCTAAAAATAGAGTCAAACCATTGTAAGGGTGTTGGTGCCCAGCCCTACTGGGGACTGGCTGTGCATGGCCCTGGGTTTGGGCCCAGGAGCCTCAGAAGCGGGCTCTGAGGCCTGACTGGAGACACCCGGCCTCGAGTCCTGGGCACCTGGGCTCCAGGAGGGCTGAGAAAGTCTTCCCCGCCTTGAACTGTCTCCAAGGACAAGCTTTTCCTCCCACAGCAGGCTGGAGAGTAGCCTGCAAGGTTTCCCTCGTCCCCTACGTGAGGAGGCTGGGCCATAGCTAGCATAAATTCCAAGTTACCGTGGGGCAGAGAGAGGAAACCATCAGTGAAACCTTCCAAATTATTTGGTTCATGGGAATGTGGTGAAAGCAGGGATTTGGTGGCAGATAATCAGGCTGGTCACACAGTCTGCTCCCAGTCTAGCCTGAGTTCCTAGCCAGAATGCTTGCAAATTGATGTGCGTGGTACAGGAGCCCCCTCCCTAGTGGCTGCAGAGCCATGGAACCCATGGTTCACTTAGTCCCCTCATCTCTGAATGTGGACAGTGATGGGGTGGGGGGTTTAAGGACTAGGAGTACTTAGCATAACAGCAGCACTGCACATCAGGAAGCCAACAGCTATGGAAAGGGCTAGGGTTGGGTTTAGGTGAGACTGGCAGGGCTGCCTCTGTGATGACCTGCCAGCGGCTGCCCTTCCCACTGCACCCTGAGGGGCCAAATCAAGGGGCACCTCTACATCAGAATAAAGTGCTCCAGGGTAGGAAAAAGTGCTCTGACCCAGAGTCAGGACCCTGGACAGGGCCGAGGCCTTGAGGCCCAGCTTCCCTTCTGGCCCTTAACCAGTGGGTGGCCTCCCTCAGCCAGGGTGAAGGAGAATACAGCCCTCAGTACCGGCGCCTGAAGAGACAGGCCCTGGGATTCCTGGGAGGCTGGCTTAGGACTTTTGACAGAAGTGCACCAGGTCTGACATTGGCCCTGGGATCCCCTTTGGCAGTGGAGGAAAAGGTGGGGCTGACCCCAAGGACACAGGCTGCTGCCTTTCTCTGCTCTGCCTGTCTGCAGGATCCCAACAAAGCTGAGATCTGTCCCTTGGGGCTTAAGTCGGCCAGGCCAGTCCTGAAGGAGGGGAAGGGATTAGCTTCACCTGGGGAGGTGGTATTAGTGTATAAACCATGATGAGGCCTTGGGTTTCTGGCCTGGCCTGTCTCACCAAAAACCATAACCATTATTGGTGCTTAACACTTTGTGGGGCATATCTCTGAGAATCTGATGGAGATCACAGACCAGAGATTATTTTTTAAATACCAACACCAGACCCCCATCCCACCTCAGCCCCAGGAATTCTGACTTAAATGGACTAGAGTGGGGTCCCAGGTACCTGTTCTTTATAAAAGCCGTCCTGCTGGAAGGCAGGGTTAAGAACTACTGACGTAGACCTTTCTCTTTAATTTGCTAAGACTGGAGTTCCTGGCTTGGTCCTCCCTAGAAGACCCTGAGGTCGAAGGAGGAAGGGGAGGCTTTCCAGCCAGGTTCAGTGACCTAAGCAAAGGCAGGGAGTGTGGGTGGGGGCAGTCCCCCAGGTCGCCCCCTTCCCCCATAGAAGCTAGAGGACTGAGGTTTCTGCCAAGCCCTCAGCCTGGCAGGGGTGTGAAGGGCAGTTCAGGAAGAGACCTGGAGGCCAGCCCTGTGGTTTTGAGGCTGTGTCTTTCTCGGGCCTGGGGCAGAGAGGCAGATGGAAAGGCAGGCCAAGTGGTGGGGGTTTCCCCCAGGCAAGCTGTCTTGAGATAGAAAGCTGTATTTTCAGGGAGTCAGAGTCCCCAGAAGTCATCCAGTGGGCAGGGACAGGAGTCTTTAGGGCCCAGGAATTACTGATACTGATTAAACTCAGCAAGCACTGGAGAGCACCTAATAGGCCCAGCCCATTGCTAGGGGTACAGAAAATGCAGGCTCTGTCCCTAGGGAGCTTGTCCTCTGACTGTCAGCAGGATGCAGGTGCTACACAGGAAAGTGTCCGTTATGAGAGATGCAGCCAGCTTTGCCACTGAGGAGCTCTGTGACCTTGGGCAAGTGACTGTTTCTCTCTGAGGCTTAGGGTCATCTTCTGTAGAGCCCCGCCCCACACCTTGCCATGGAATTTCTGTTCTGTGGATGTGACTGTCCTCTCCTGACGCCTGTGGAGCCTGGAAGTGGGGGAAATCCCAGAAATGAGTGGAGGTGAGGCTGGCCTCCCTGGGATGGAAGCCTGGATGGTCCCAGAGCAGGGTGGCTGGGAGTTGGGATCCAACTGGTGGCTGCTTTGTAGGCCCTGGTGACAAATCAGTCTATCTCTAATGAGAGAATGGGGCCTCTGCAGGTTCCACAGGGGCCCTTCACCAATGTGCTCACCCTCTCGTCCCTGAAGAGAGGGCCTGGGAGAAAGAGGTGATCCTTGTGAACAACCTCTGCCACCAGTGGGGTGTCCCCCAGACCCAGTGTCTGTGAAAGTTCCTATATAAGGATGGCCTGCCCCCCTGGAAAAGGCAGAGAGTGAGGAGTGAGGATGCAGCTTATTGGTTTGACCCACTGCTTTTAGAAATGGGACCCTCCTACTCTGGGTGAAGGCAGGGGTGGCCAGATTGTGTAGGGGTGCAAAACCACAGGATAAATAAGGTACCTTTCTGGAGGAGCAGAGGTGTTATCCAGATGTTTGAAATAACATATTTTGTAATAAAGCAATGATGGCGTATGTTGTAATAAAATGGAAAATGCCCACAAACTTGAGAGATGAAACAGGAGAATCCAAAATAAGGTCATATGCTTGGCCCTGTGGTTTCGAGCTACGTTTCTAGCCAACAGTTCCTCTGCCCCCCTGTGAGGGGGCTGGGCAGTGAGGGGAGCCCTTCCGCTGGGCTAAGCGCCTGCTTTTTGAGACTCCCTCCCGCTGCCTTCCTCTGGGGTGGGGGGCAGAATCCACTTCTAGTATAGTCGGAAACATTGCTGATCCCGCCAGCTGG